GCATGCGCACGGAACGCTCTTGCACTTTCGGGGGGATTTAAACATCCCCCCGAAATTTTTTTCTACTTTTAGCATTTTTGTGCACACATGGGGACTGGCCCACGTGTGCACAAACCTCCCCCTCCCCCCCAAGTGCCCCCGGAGCGCTGATTTAGCGATCCGCACTCCGGGGGCAACTTGGCTATTAGATATATAGATCAGGGAGCAGCAAGCAAGGACTCAAAGGACAATATTAGTTTTAAGCACACGCACACACACACACCATGAACTTAGCTTCAAAAACTCTCACCTCTTCTAATTACACTCCCAAAGCCAAGCTGTTTCCTGTAGCTCCCACCAAAGCAGGCATGATACAAGTCACTAAGGTTGTGATTCACTAATATGACACCCATGAGTACCATGGCATCCATTTCCTCCTTCCCCAAAAGAAAGAGCCAACCTTGGCTTTCTATCACCTCACTAGAGCTGTGTGATGCCCCTTCGCCATTCACATGGCGTGCCCATCACACTGTACAGCCCCATTTCGCCCTAGGAGTCAAAGGGCGCCACCCCGGGGCTCAGGAAGGCGGGGAACCTTCCCCCCCCATGACCGGCCCCGCGAGCACCGGCTGCCATAACTCTTTAAAGGGCTCCTTCCCAGGCCTGGGGAAGCAAGAATAACGGGCAAGAGGCACCATTTCGCCCTAGGAGTCAAAGGGCGCCACCCCGGGGCTCAGGAAGGCGGGGAACCTTCCCCCCCCATGACCGGCCCCGCGAGCACCGGCTGCCATAACTCTTTAAAGGGCTCCTTCCCAGGCCTGGGGGAGTGAGAATAACCTCTCGCACCTGATGTCCCAGGCCTGGGGGAGCGAGAATAACCACTCGCGCCTGATGTCCCAGCGGCAAGAGGCGCCATTTATCCCTAGGAGTCAAAGGGAGCCACCCCACGGCTCAGGGAGCCAGGGAACCTTTCGGGGTGGGCCCGCGACTGGCGCCACAAGCGCCGGTGGCCATAACTCTTTAAAGTGCTTCTTCCCAGGCCTGGGGGAGCGAGAATAACCTCTCGCACCTGATGTCGCACCTGATGTCCGAGCGTCAAGGGCAAGGCCGCTCAGACATCAGGCACAAGAGGCGCTATTTCACCCTAGGAGTCAAAGGGTGCCACCCCGGGGCTCAGTGAGGGGGGGAACTCCCCCCCGCTACCAGCGCTGCGAGTACCGGCGGCCATAACTCTTTAAAGGGCTTCTTCCCAGGCCTGGGGGAGCGAGAATAACCAAGGCCGCTCAGACATCAGGCACAAGAGGCGCTATTTCACCCTAGGAGTCAAAGGGTGCCACCCCGGGGCTCAGTGAGGGGGGGAACTCCCCCCCGCTACCAGCGCTGCGAGTACCGGCGGCCATAACTCTTTAAAGGGCTTCTTCCCAGGCCTGGGGGAGCGGGAATAACCAAAGCCGCTCGGACATCAGGCACGAGAGCCACCATTTCACCCTAGGAGTCAAAGGGTGCCACCCCGGGGCTCAGTGAGGGGGGGAACTCCCCCCCGCTACCAGCGCTGCGAGTACCGGCGGCCATAACTCTTTAAAGGGCTTCTTCCCAGGCCTGGGGGAGCGGGAATAACCAAAGCCGCTCGGACATCAGGCACGAGAGCCACCATTTCACCCTAGGAGTCAAAGGGCGTCACCCCGGGGTTCAGGGAGGCGGGGGAACCTTTCGCGCATCCCCGCAACTGGTACCATGAGTGCTGGCGGCCATAACTCTTTAAAGGGCTCGTTCCTAGGCCTAGGGGAGCGGGAATAACCTGTTGAAAGCTGCCTGCAGGAGATGGTGGTCTAGAAATCTAATAAATAAACAGACCAAGTAATGTGGGTGGGTGTTTCTTTCCCTGAGACACACAATCAATAGGGATAAACAAAACACAAAGCAAACTACAGTTGAGATCTTTTGATTACAAACTATTTTCAACCTGCTCTAAGCATTCCTTCTTCACAGTTTCACCCAGACATACTCTTTTTCCTAGCTGCCAACTCCCAACTCCCTCTTACCTGCAGTTTTCCAACAGTCGCACTCCAACATTCTGTCAGCTCTCATTGGTCACTCTTAGAGAGTGGTAGAACCTACCCTGTCCATCACAAGCTGCTTCAGAATAAAGCATCACCTTTCTGTTGCAGGGAACAACTATTCAGAAAGAACAATCTCCATCATATAAGACTACCTGGCTTGGAACCTCCCAACATTTTGTGATTGACCCTGACCCCCACAGCAGCCATTCCTGGTGGCATTTTCTACTTGATGATCCACTCCTTATATTCCTTTTCTGTCAGCAAGTTAACAACAAGCATCAAGCTAAATTTTCCTGTGCATATAAATCGTTCCTGCCAGAACATGAAAAGCTATTCACATTCCTTCTTTCCCTTTTTCTGCCCTCTTACCCTCTTATGTGTACCTCCCATCCCATACCAGTCAGCTTTGAAGCAATTAGAGACCACACAAGTCCCCAGGGACAGTCAAGCTCTATCCTCTTCCAGCACTGTCTGGACAGTAGCTGCAGCTTAAAGTTGATGGCTATGCGAACTCATAGCTTGGCTCTCTTCAATAGGACATATGTTTGCTTGAAACAACATCTCACAATAACTATAGTTTCAACAGCAGCAGAAAGGGAGATGGCAGGTCTTCATTAAGAGAACCAAATATGAGAGCAACAACAGAAATATAGCAGGAAAATTGAAGCTTTATACCTCCCCAGTCTAGACAGAGAAACATACTTTACCCTTCTAACAACTGTAATATCCAGAATACATGTATACACCAACCCGTACCCAAATTCTTGCTCCCACTAAGACTTGTAGATGGTAACCAAGGCCATGTATCATTATTTATTTCAACTGAATACATATTAGCAATCTCAGGCAATTAGTATTATGCATACACACACGCCATTTCATTTAACTGAAATTTCAGTTTTTAAAAATGTATGTGGTGGGATTAGGACTCCCCCACGTCAGCCATTCTGTCATCTCTCAAAATTCAGCAAGGTTGGAGACCTAGAGTTTAGAGAAAGCGAAGCATATTTAAGATTGTTCTCGTACACACAATTACTTCAAAGTAATTCCTACTGAACTCAATGGAACATATTTCTGAGTATACATGCTTAGACTTGAACTGTGTGTCCCATTGGTTTCACTGAGAAAATTAATCATATATTTAAATCTATCTCCATGGAACTATTAAAATAGCTCCACTTTGGTTACATTATGCCCCTGCTATACTATATATACCATATACTACATAGTATATATAGTATACTATACTATATACTATAGGAAATATACTATCCAATAACCCAAATAATTGATATAGCACTAAATGAAAAAAAGAATAACACCAGTACATATGCCTTCTGGTTTTCTTTCCAGAGTTGCTAGAAGATATTGATTAATTAAAGAAAATAATTCTTATGCCAATGACATATTATTATGTATTACATTATATGTTATATGTATTATATAATATATATTATGTATGCATACCTAGAGATAGAAAATTTATGTTAATATTTTCTCCAATACAAAAAACTATGTTTCACTCTTCAATAGTAATTTTACTGCTGCTTTTTAGTGAACAGCCACTAGGTGACAGCAAGCATCACTTTGAACAAAGACTGTAGTTAAAAGAAATAACATAAAAGATACTCTGTTATATTTATATATGCATCATATTTAACTGTGTAAATTAAAATCTGAAAATTAGCCTGGGAAATGGCCAAATATTTAAAAAGTAATTATTTTCTCAGCACTCATCAGTAGAATTGCCAATTAGGAGTGACAAGAGACCTTTATATTACACAAATGTAGTCAAAATTATTCTTGTTAACAGGCAAACACAAAGCCCATTTCATGTTCTGTTGGTTCTGTACACACATTTAACATATAGCAATGTAACAACTTATCTGTTCTATAAATGCCAAGCAGGAAGAAATGTGGTACAGAAAGCGGCAGCATATGAGACATTAAAGAGAACATTTGCTAGAAGAGCAAATGTTTACTGTATAAAATGGAGTCCGTACTGCTTAAATCACACAGAGAATTAGCCGAGCGATAGGGATGGCTGCCGTGCAGATTTTACGGGCGCGATCACACATGAACATCTGGCAAGTGTCCTGCACCCGTATTAGGGAAAGTGTAGTATTTTCCGGAAAACGCACGGCGCGGGCGGGTGTTGGATCGCGGAAGCACTGGTATCCCGTAGCATCTGGCACCCGTCTGCATCTCATCTCACACCAGATGTTTTGTTTAAGCCTCCATGGTATGCACCCAACCATGGAGCTGTGCATGCCCACTGTTCTATGGATTCACGTCCATGGTCATGCACAGGCGGGACCTCTGGCTGGAAGAAAAAAAAGCCCATGAGGTCGGGAAGCGGCAGCTTGCGATCGCCATATGTGTGATCGCGCCATGCCGCTTCTCCCCCCCCCCCTTGCCACACTTCGCTGTCGACATGTGATCATGGCTGGGGGCATGTGTGCGGAGCATTGGGGGAAATGTCTGATCGTGATACCGCACTTCATTTTGCTCCGAAGCAAAAAGCCTCATTTCCCCCCTGGATTATCTCACTCATGTGACCGGGGCCTATAACAATTTTTTATAATGTCCCATGGTATCATTGCCCACCTACAATTTCCACCACAGGTCTCAGTCAAAATCCTTATAAATAATACTCACAGGAAACCAGAAGAACAAGTGAGATAGAGTAAGAGACTGAAATTACATTACATTTTCATGCACATGAAATTTACTCTTTTGCTCAGTAGCATAGTTAATTTTTTTCCTTTTGTTTTTAAAAAGTAGCTGTATTACTGTTTCTTCAAACTATGCAACAATCAAATTTTCCATAACTGTAATGGCAAACATATAACGTTTGAACACAATATGTGTTTTGCTAGACATGCATGCCTGGGATGCTATGTCCAATCAGGGTTCCTAGATGGTACTAGCATTTAGGCAAGCTATGCAATACTGTTGCAACCATAGCAAACCTGAGAGCCCAACAAACCTTTTCACTTTTGAAGCACTGAAGTTATTTTTGATAGGCGCTGACTTCTGTTTGCTTAGATTAAGGTCCACAGTTGGAATGCCAAGCACTTCATAACTTGATATATGATGATATAGAAAATTATTTTTCTAGTATGGAACTAGGCGTATGCAATCAGATGTTGCCAAGCCGATAAAATGCTTAATATTTCCAACAGAGGATCAGATTGGCAATATCTGATAATTGCAGAAGGCACTCCTGATATTTCCTGATTCTGCTATTTAAGTTCGGATAAATACCAGAAATATTTGGAATTGGGTCAGGAGGCCTTTCCGCTGATCTGCAGGCTGTGCATCAGCTCTTTAAAGGGTCACCAGTTCAGTGGCCTCTGGACTTCAGATCTCTTGCCCATTAAAAATAATGGCCCTTTAAGATTAAAGCGGCAATGCACTAAGGACCAGCTGACACTCCTCCCCCTGAAGGAGTACGGGAGGGGGAGAGAGAGAGAGCGCACTCAGCAGCTGCCCCGTGGCAACATAGTTTAAACTTTAGAATCCACTGCAGTAGACCTGGCCTCCGAGTCCAAATACCAGGTGTACTGCCCATTGACCTCGAACTGGTTAAATCATGTAAACACTGGGCTTTCTCAACATGTGTGGGTTCTTCAATTAAAAGACATATTTGTATGTTTGATGTATATCCCTCTCTAGCTCACCTTTCATAGCCATGCACAACAAATAGTAAAAATATTAAAATCTTAAGCCTGCAATCATCATAAAATCAAGAACAGTAGTAAAAGGATGAGCAGTATATTGCCATCCAGATTTCACAACCCAACACTGAGGGCTTGCAGAAATGTTAACCTGCACCCAGAATGACCCACCTGAGAGGGACAAATATCACATGGCGATGAGCTTTATAGCACAATGGTGACTGCTGATGCTCTTAGACAAGGACAACCTTGCTTTTATGCAAGATGTAAATGCTGACAGATCTGAAACAGATGGGAGTTTCTACAAGCACCTTAGATCAAAACAATTTAGGGCTTCTTAAAGGTCAAAACCAGCACCAATAAGATCTGTATTATGGATAAACTTCCTGAAAAAGACTTTGCTTGCCATCACCCATCTTCCCTTCCCTCACAGTTTTTTAGCCTCCGGCTCACACATTTTTGTCTTAGCTCAGGAAGGATGGCTCCAGAGCAAACTAATTTATGCAGCAGCCAAATCGCTAGCTCACAACTTCAATGCTAGTAGCTCACAAAGTAGCATTTTTGGTCACAAGACTCAACTGCTTAGAGGGAGCATTGGTGACAATGTTCCCTTTAAGCCGTGGAGTCTTGTGAGCAAAAATTCTACTTTGTGAGCTACCGGCATGAAAGCTGTGAGCGAGTGATTGGCGAGCGAACGCTCCCCCCCTCCCCCCCTTCCCCCCCGTCCCCCCCCCCCCCCCCCGCGGCTTGCGGCCTCCAGGCCTCGCTGGTCTCTCCCCCCCGCCTCAAAGCGAGGCCCGCGGCTTGCAGCCGCCGGGCCTCGCCAGGCCTCCCCACTGCCGCCGCCTCCTCCTCAAAGCGACCGGTCGCTCGCTCCCCTCCCCCCCTGAACTGAGGCAGTTCGCAGAGTGTTCCCTGCGCATGGGCAGGGGATGCTCTGTGACTCTTGGGGGGATTTAAGTATCCCCCCGATTTTTTTTTAGGTTTTAAGATTTCTGTGCACACCTGGGGACCGTCCCAAGTGTGCACAAAATTCCCCTCCCCCCCCAGGTGCCCCCCGATGTGCGGAAATAAGTATCCGCACACCAGGAGGCGACTTGGCTATTAGATATATAGAATAGATGTAAGTGCTGACAGATCTGAAACAGATGGGAGTTTCTACAAGCACCTTAGATCAAAACCATTTAGGGCTTCTTAAAGGTCAAAAACAGCACCAATAAGATCTGTATTGTGGATAAACTTCCTGAAAGACTTTGCTTGACATCACCTATCTTCCCTTCCAATGTATAGCTGTAGGACAGTTGTGTATATTCTAAACCAAAGACAAAAGGAGACAAAGAATGAAAATGTGAAAAGATAATAGAAAGAAAAGAGGGAATTGAGGGAGGAGCATTGCGGGAAGCCACAGGGAGGGGAGATAAGAGATATGGATATATGTTATTTGAAATGTAATGTTGAATATGTTGTTATATCCAAAAATAAAAGTTTGAAATAAAAAAATGTGTGAGCTGGAGGCTAAAAAACTGAGCTAGCTCACACTAACTCAGTTTAGTGGGAACACTGGTGAGGAGGACCTACATCAAGTAAGTGTGTGTCCAAGGTCATTGCACAGAATCCACAGCAAAACATTGGGGTGCTGTGGCAAAAGCTCACAGATGTTTCAGCAGGTAAGTCAATGTGATTATGTCTGGGATTAGAACTTTGAAAAATACTGGTGCACTCTCCTGAGATCTCACATTGTTGGTAAAGCTTTGTCTTTACCACTTCAAACTACAGGTGGGGGCACCAGTGTGCATGATGGAATGCACCCTCACAAAACAATCCTAGGTATGCATTCAAAACCAGGTCAAGAAAAAGCCAGGCTAGAATTCTTCCCCTACTTTTCTATGCGTACAGTGTTCCAGGTCAGCTATAGAGGAATGGACAATCATGCAAGTCCAAGTTTACAATCAACCATAACCTTGCAAGAATTTCAGAAACTCCACTTGGAAGTCAATTAGTATGGTTAATAAATGTGTTCTTTTTATTGTGCAATTACAAAATCAAAGATTTTACATAAAATGTACTCCATAAATTCATACAAATTCATTCTAAAAATGAAATTCAACCCCTCATTATTTTAAAACCTAACTAAACCAGTTTGACTTCTAAAAGAACACAACATCTAATTTTAATACAGATGAGTTATGGCGACCCTGCAGGGTTTTCAAGGCAGCAGAGGTTCAGAGATGATTTGCCATTCCTTGCCTCTGCATAGCAACTCTGGTATTCCCTGGAGGTCTCCCAAATACCAGGGCTAGTATTTAGAAATCTTTGGAGAACCATTAACGATTTATGAACACCATTTACCTTTACTCAACCGTTCTTCTTTTTATTTGTACTGTGATTTTGTGGACTATGATTTTAGCTGGGTTTAACGGTCGCAAGCTGCTTTGAGTCCCTTAACCAGGAGCAGTGCAGGATATAACTAAATATTTCAAATAAATGAAGGACTACATCATAGTTCAGAGTGAGCTGGTGTAAGTAATCCTTTCAAGGGGGGGGGGGAACCCCATGCTACAAATCCCCTCACAGCCACCAGGCCCCTCGACCTCCTCTCTAGCAGGGACGGACGTCGCGCCCCCTAACGGCACGAGCATTTCCCAACCGCCTCATCCCTTCCCATTACGTCTTCCAACGACATTCCTTCCCGCCCCCTTGCGCCTGCGCCAAGTTCTACAACTGGGGGGCGGGGCAAACACCGAGGAACGGTCAGGTGGCCCCCTCGGAGGCCGCGAGCCAATAGAAAAGCGGGTCTCCAGCCGCGCGCGCCCCTCTTTGTCCCGTCCGCCAGTCTCCTCTCTGCCCCCCGTTCGATTCCGCGTTTCGGAAACTGCCGCCGTTGTAAGCGAAGCGCCCCAGCGGGAGCGTCTGTCTTCGTAACGTTTTCTCTCGGGTACGTATTTGCCGTTTTGCCCGCCGTTTCGTGCCTCAAACGGTACAGTCTGTGAATTTGACGTTAAAAAGAACGGGGAGTGTGGAGGAAGGATCGGTCTCGGAGAGGCGGGGGGGGGCTCTCGCTGCCTTTCTTCCCCCTCCCTAGTTTTTCCGCGCCTCCGCAAGGCTGTTCAGTTCCCGCCCCTCCGGTTCGCCGAGCATGTTTACGTGCGCGCGATTAGTAGGCGCTGCGCGTTCCTTTCCAGTGTCGCGGGGGGGCGCGCACGCGCGCACCGTTTCCAGTCTGCGGGCGGCTGGGCTGGCTCGCCTCTCGGCTTCGTTAAGGGCACGCATCTGAAACAAAATTTCTTCAGTGAATTTATATTTGAACAAGCAGAGGCCTGTGAGGACGAGCTCAGGGGGGAAATTCTCTTACTGACTTGTGTTCTGACTCTCAGCCCCATTTCAAAACTGTTTGGCAAATATATGGAATTGGGTATAAGAACTGTATAAGAAGAATCGCCAGTGTATCCGGCTCTTGAGAAAGACTTGCAAACTGCTACACCCTGTACTACCGTAGCACAGGAATCTTTTTTTGCCATCTGAGAGGCAGGGAAAAGTAAAAGCTGAAGTTAGAAAACAAATTCTCTAGTAAGTTGAAGAAAGAGTATTAGTTGCGCAGAAACTTTCTCATAGAGTCGCAACAGGTAGGACTGCCAGCATGTTTGGATATTAAGCTAAACTTAACTGTGAAAACACAGAACTCATTAATAATGTATTCTCATTAAAAACTTTATAGTGTATTGATTGTTGCCAAAATTATTGACAGGTAAACAGTATATGTCTACAGATAGATTCAGGTGGGTAGCTGTGTTGGTCTGAAGCAGGAGAAGGAAGTTTGAGTCCAGTGGCACCTTTAAGACCGACAAAGTTTTATTCAAGTTATGAGCTTTCAAGCACACATTCTCAGACAAATTGAAACAATTGCTGCCATTCATTGATCTTGCGCCTTGATCCAATCTCAGTTTCGCTTATACATCTTAACTCTGACTGGTCCTTCCTGATGCTTCCACACACACATCCATCTTTGTGTATGTAAGGCTTGAAGAAATTTTGTTTCAGGTTGTCTGAGGAAGTGTGTTTGCACATGAACGCTTACACCTTAAATAAAACTTTGTTGGTCTTAAAGGTGTCATTGGACTCAATCAACATATGTCTACAGTATATGTCTTGAAAATATTGTAGATGTATATACAGTGTAAGAGTTTTGTTTTTCCCGGTGCTCCCTATAATTTCCCAATTCTTTCTCTGAGAAAACTGAGAAAATCTTAAAACTTTTTCACTGTACATTTGGAGTCAGTGAAATGCTTTGTAAGATGTTTTTTCACTCAAAAAGATAATATATTTCATAGGAGGGTGTGTTTTTTTAGTGGTCCCCCCAAATCCCAGTTTTGCCATTAGAAAAAGTGAAAAAGCCCTAAAAAAACCCCCCAGATTCCTCCCCATTGTACTGTTTCCCCCCCAAGGCCCTCACATCCTTAGATCAGCAGAGATTAAATGGTTTAATGCGTTAGAAAAAGTGAAAAAGCCCTAAAAAAACAACAACAGATCCCTCCCCATTGTACTGTTTTTCCCCCAAGGCCCTCACATCTTTAGATCAGCAGTGATTAAATGGTTTAATGCATACTGTATTTTTCTAATCAGACTGTTCAACCATGAGTCTTTTCCAGAAACTAATACTAATTAATCCAGTAAATAACCATAGTCTTTGGACAATAAAGGTTCATGTATAATGAAAATCTTAGCTGATACTGATGTTAGTCTTTCAATTCTGTAATTAGCCCCAACAACCCATTGGAAATAATGTTCATGTGCAACTTGTTTTTTTTTATGAAACATGAAGTCTTTAGAGATTGATTGATTAAACCATTTGTATGCTGCCCTTTCACCCTTTCGGAGCCCTCAGGGTGGCAAACAATTAAAAAGTCATTCAAAATCCGCTATTAAAACACTTCATAAATAATAATAAACAAATAATTAAAAAAGAAACAAGAAGGGGGGGTCAGTAAGGGAATGGCAGAGGCAACAGAAAAATGTACATTTTATGGTGGAAGACAATGTTTGAGGGAGATAGACAAATCTCCCTGGGGAGGGAGGTAACAGCTGAAAGGATGTGACTTAGATACAATTAATAACAATAGCAAGCTCCAGGCTATCATTTTATCACATTATTAAAATCATGCTGTTAAGATCAAGTTGATCTTGATTCTGTTAGTACTAATTGCATTCTTGAATGAGGGAAGATTTTATCCCACTTGGTCATAACGGAAACTTATGTTTAAATATTACATCTTCCTTGTTTCATCACAATTTCCTATTTACTTAAACATGTTTTTAGTCTGCTGCAATAATTACAAGTATTGGTAAACATACAGGAGATCTAATTAGGCTAATATCTCTAAGTTATGTTATTATTCTATATAAAAAGAAAGTAAATACAGCTGTGGTTGCTGTGCTTGTTTATGGATGTAAACACTTTACTGATGTGATATAAATTTATTAGAATGCTTCCATTTTTACAAAAACCACTTGAAATATTAAGTTGGCAGGGCAGGATCCTAACACAGATTTGGGGAAAATACAGGATCCCTGGCTTTGAGATCATATTGTTGGGCCCAGCTGGTGGTGGATGGACATGTGGTCTGCACAAGAAGAAGAAGAAGAGATTGGATTTATACCCCGCCCTTCACTACCTGAAGGAGTCTCAGAGCAGCCTCCCCACAACAGACATCCTGTGAGGTAGGCAAAGCTGAGAGAGCTCTTTCGAGAACTCTTTCAAGAACAGCTCTGACAGAACTATGACTTGCCCAAGGTCATCCAGCAGCTGCAAGTGGAGGAGTGGGGAATCAAACCTGGTTCTCCCAGATTAGAGTCCGTGCACTTAACCACTCTTGTACGCCTAAAATTGTGGTCTGTAAGGCACAGGAATCTATTCAGCCATCTTACTCTCTGACAAGTCATCTTTAGAGCATGCAGGATAGATAGCTAACCTAGGATCTTATTGCATCAGGTAGACGTGTGCGTTTTAAAACATTGCTAGCCACTTCAAGCATTTCAAAACACAAATTTTAAAATGCACAAATCTACCAAATGCAAAAAGATCCAATCCAAAAGGGTACACGTTGCATTTTCCCCTGTGTCACAAGGCAAGTTCTTTATTTGAGGGATTCCCCAAGACTCTAAGCCAAGTAATTTAGTTTATACAATTTAGCTATTTAAGCATCTTGCAAACATTGTGGCATCATCAGTCTGTCAGCCTTACAAGTGACAGCAGAGGTAATAACATCTTCATTGTAGCTGTATTTGATATATAATTTGGCGGAACACAAACGCATAGATGGAACCAGCAATATTTTATTTGTATATATTTGTTATTTATTAGTTGTCTCCAGAGAACTTCACGAAGCACCTTAGAACATTTTAAAAGAAAGCACAACATATTTTGTTAAGCTGATTTGTTATTATTTGGTTAACTAAAGGAACAGAGGTTAAAACAACCAAAATAGTGACAAAATCAGTACAATAATAGAAAAACACCAGTAAGAACTGTGATCAGCATAAAAGCCATACAAGCAATAGGAGATCAAACAACACAGAAAATCAGAGAGGAAGATGGCCAGGAATAAATTCAGTCAAAAAGACAAATACAATTACTAGGAGCATAAAAAACAATAAATTAGGCATCAGATGAACTTCTAGGGGGACATTTTCAGGCAAAGATACAGGCAAAGTATCACCCCCAAAGAAGAACCCTCTCTCTGAAAGTGGTGGGAGGGCGACGTGTGGATCAGAGCTTGAGAAGACTTTAATGCTGGGCATGGTTAGGGTAGCCAGGCATCCCAGTATGATGGGAAGTCTCTGGCTGCAGTGGTGGCAGAAGAAAAACAGTGACTTTGCTACACTGTTTCTTGGGAAAACCCAGAAGTGAGATACAGTGGCTCTAGGAATCAATAATTTATTGTGGTTATGGACTAGTGGAATAAAACATACACAGACTATATAAATATATATATACAATCTTCCATTACAATATATACAAAACAATTTCCTGTCACTGGATCAACACTGGTCCTCGGTAGACTCTTTGACAGCTGCACAGAGCCTGGTAATTCTGTCCAAGTTTCAGATTCAAGGAATGCAAGAAGAAAGGAGGTATACCTTTCCTCTGATCTTCTTGGGATTTTTTTTGAGGATGGGTCTAAAAATATATATCTAAACTCTAGGAATCATTATGGTAGAATTTCTGGCAATTCCTAGACTTACCCTACATCCCTGATGTCTCCCCCCCCAAAAAAAAACTCTCCCACCGGTTGCCAGGCTCAGCCTGTCAATGCTGAGCATGGGACAGTACAGACTAGGTATCCTGATACTAACCTATTTAGGGCTTTGAAGACAAGAATTGTACCTGTAAGCAAATTGGCTAGTCAGTTTTTGGCAGGGAGCTCTTTCAGTACAGGGAAGATATGTGACCAGCTCCTGAAAATAAGGGATATATTGTTACAGTTCCATAGGGCCTGTAAAATGGAGCTGTTTCGCCACGCCTTTAGTTGTGGTGGTAGATGTCCAATCCATGTTGGCCTCCCCTGCCCACAGAAATACATCATCGAACTAATCAACCTACAGGAGGCATTAGGGACTGCCCTGGATTTTTTGTCTTGTTTTTGCTGCCATCTTGTTTTATTGTTTGTTTTAACTTGGTTTTATTATATAGTATTATTATTTACTTCGGCAAGATTTTAAATGTTGTGAGCCACCCTGAGCCCATTTTTGGGATAGGGCAGGATATAAACCTAATAAAATAAATAAAATTATTTACTGTGTGTTTACTCTTCTGTTTTCAGTAATGAAAACATTCAACCTGTTTAGTTATCAGAATAAAGAACAAATGATAGAGGTCCCAGAAAGAGCTCATTTAAGTCTAATTCAATTTCTTACCATTGGTGTCAGTGGGATGTACATCAGGCTATTTATAGCACCTTATAAAAACATTACCATGAACTAGCTGCACTTTCTCTACAGATCGTTTATTTTGTAAGTCCTTCTGCAACAAAAAGATCCATCTGGAGTGGGTAAACAGCTTAAAGTGCTGTCAACAGAGTCTGCTTGATAGCACTGTAAACAATGAAGCGATTTTTATTCAGAAAGCTTTGTGCAAACAGTCATAGACTTGGAAATATTAACATTTTCCCCAAGATGAAAGAGCTCCTTTTAGTTCTACATTTGATCGTGTGTGTGTGTGTTTGTGTAACTTAATTGCTTAATCAAATTTTACATCAAGAAGAATAAATATTTCTATATTTCATGAGCTGAAATTATTTTAACATTTATTTCAGGAATACTGAAGCTTACCGTTTGAATCATGTGCAGTGTGATGCAAGCTGAGAGAAAGATGGACATGTTGAAGATCCTGTGTAAACCAGCAGAGAGCTTAGAATGTGATCACTGCAATTTCAGAGGTTCTGACTATGCAAATGTACAGATACACATGGGTACTATCCACCCTGAGTTTTGTGATGAAATGGATACTGCTGGATTGGGGAAACTTATTTTTTATCAGAAAAGCGCCAAATTATTCCATTGCCACAAATGCTTTTTTACCAGCAAGATGTATTGTAATGTTTATCATCACATTACAGAAAAACATGCCAAGCCAGACAAACGGAATGAAGAACGGAAAGAGTTGTTAGACACAGAATCTCTGAAAAAACCTATCTCTGTGGAGCCTCCAAAGCCTTCTGTGTCTCCAGAGACACAAAAACCCTCCACATCTCCAGAACTACAGAAGCCTGTTCTTGCTGAACCTATCAAGTCTGATAACAGTTTATCTCCCAAAATGCAAAAGCCCATTCCAATTGCATCTGTGGAGCAACAGAAAGTTGTTCCAGTTGTGTGCCCAGAGCCACTGAAACCTGTCTCTGTTCTAGCCCTAGAGCCTCCAAAACCTGTTCCAGTACTGTCATCAGAGCCACTGAAACAGATCCCTTCTTTGTCTGCAGAACTACAGAAACCTGCCCTAATTGAGCCTTCAGAGCCACCAAAACCTGTCTCCACTATGTTCCTGGAGCCACAGAAATCTGCTCCAGCTATATACACTGAGGCACAGAAACCCTTCCCTGCTATACAGGCAGAAGTACAGATCTTTGCCCCGGAACCAGAGAAGCCTACAATTCAAGTATCCCTGGAACCACAGAAACTACTTCCACCCATATCCCCAGAACTTCAGAAGTCTGCACTGCCTTCCCCTCCACCTGTGGCTGTATCTGAATCACAGAAATTTTCTCCGGCTGCATCTCCCGAGCCCCGCAGGCATTCTCCGGCTGTGTCCCCTGAACCAAAGAAGTTTTCCACTGCTCTGCCCTCAGAATCTCGCAGGCATATTCCTCAGATGCGGAGACCCACTTCAGCACTTTCCCCTGAGCCATGGAAAGCAGAAACAGCAATGTCTGCAGATCCCTGGAGGACTCCTAATATTCCAGATCCCTGGAGGCCTGCCACTAGTACCTCTCATGAGCAACAGAAGTCTTCTATTAATATGTCCCCCTGGTCTTCAAAACCTTCCTCATCTTTGTCACTTGAATCCAGAAGGCCTGCCTCAGATTCCCGAAGGCCAGCCACTATGATGTCCACAGAGCCTCAGAAGTTTGTAACAGAGCCTTGGAAATCTAGCTCCTTACCTGATACCCAGAAATCTAGTCTTGCTTCCTCAGAACCTTGGAAACCCATTTCATCAGTTTATCCTGAAGGTTGGAAACCAGTTTTGTCTCCTGACACCTGGAGGCCATCACCACCACCGCCTCCTCCCCCCCCTCCCATGCCAGCTGAACTCAGAAAGCCTGGTCCTCCTATGTCACCTGATCTTTGGAAGCCTTCCTTCTTTCCTGAGCAACGTAAACCAACTCCTGTGTCTCCTGATCCATGGAAGTTTTCTTCTGAGCCTCGAAAATCTACTTTCTTTCCAGAGACTCAGAAACCTGGTACTTTTGTGTCCCCAGACCTTCAGAAGCGTGGGTTTTTTTCTGAACCCCGAAAACGGGCCCTGTTTCCTGAGCCTAAAAAACCTGTTCCTCCTGTTGCTGCTGAGATGCAAAAGCGACCCTTCTTCCATGAAACTCATATGTCTTTTCCTGAAGTGCAAAAACATGCCCTCTTTTCTGAATCTCATAGACCTCCTCCTGTTTCTCCTGAAGCCCAGAAACATCCCTTCTTCACAGAACCCCAGAAACATATTGCTGTTTCTCCTGAAATACAGGAGCATGTTCCTTTATTAGAACCTCAGAAACCACCTGCTGTTTCTCCGGAAGTGCTGAAACTTCCTATAGCTTCCGAAATCCAGAAACTCGCTGCCTTTGCTGAACCCCAGAAGCCACCTCCTGGTTCCCCTGAGAAACAAAGACAGACTTTCTTCACAGAGCCTCCAAGATGTCCTCTTTCTCCTGAACTCCAGAAACCTTCCTCTTCTGTGTCTTCTGATCAGAAGCAAGTCCTCAGTTCTGAAGTCCCCAAACCCATGCCTCTTGTTTCCTCTGAAGTCAGCAAAACAACTGCCTCTGAGTTTAGCCAGCCTTCAGCTCCTGACATTTCAGAGGTACCAGCCTGTACTGAATCTAGTAATAAAGATTTGTTAACTGAAAATCCAGAAGATGAGCATCCTGTCAGTGGTCTGTTGGCTCCGAAAGAACAGCCTGTGCAAAACAAGGAACCCGCAGAAGATGATTTGTATACTTGTCCAAAGAAGAAAGCCAAGAAAGAAAACCAGGAAGCGTCTAATGCAGAGCTGAATAGCAGCGACAGTGGAAACACTGAGATGGATACATCAGAGGTGAAAGAGCAGGATTCCCTCAGTGATCAGGAACAGCTTGACGCAGAATCATCTGATCCCAGTAAAGAGACGAAGACTGATGCAACTCCCACAACACAGCCTCAGTGTGTGCTGCAGTTTACGGAAGAGAAAGAAGCGTTTATCTCAGAAGAAGAAATAGCAAAGTACATGAAACGCGGCAAAGGCAAATACTATTGTAAAATTTGTTGCTGCAGAGCTATGAAAAAAGGTGCCGTGTTGCATCATTTGGTCAATAAGCATAATGTCCAAAGCCCATTCAAGTGTGACATTTGTGGGAAGGCTTTTCTCTTGGAATCTCACCTGAAAAATCATGTTGCTGCTCATGGCCAGAGTCTGCTTAAATGCCCACGCTGCAATTTTGAGTCAAATTTCCCCAGAGGCTTTAAGAAACATTTAACCCATTGTCAAAGCCGTCATAATGAAGAGGCCAGTAAGAAACAGCTGGATGCCACCGAGCCACCGAGTCAGAGCCATCCCAGTGAAGAGGCCAGTAAGGCACCCGTGGATGGCACTGAACCATTGAATGAATCACTTCCTGAGCCACTTAATGAACCAAATCAGTGATTTTTGTTTTACAGGTTGAGAAGTCCCCAAACATGTTGCATTGTACTTTGTGATGTAGTTGAGCTTATATAACAAAGTGGAAAGAAGCTGCTGTTACTGCATAGTGCTACGTTAGCAATCGTCCTAAATTCACCGGGCACAATCTAAGGCAATTTTAAGCATGCTTAAGCCATTGATTTAAGGAACTCTAGCATGCTTGACCACGTATTAGATTGTGACCATTATATTTAGGAAGCAGAAATAGTAACAGACTTCAAGCATCACTACATTAATAAGCTTGTGTAGCAGTGTCAGTTTTTAAACAAAGAAGATAAACTGTCTTTGCAAATTTAAAATATGAAGCTAGAAAAGCAGATGCTTTGCAATGTCCATCTAGTTCAACTGTACAATTCCTAGTTTTATACTTGCAAAATACTTAGTGAGCTCTTTTATAAAGTAGTTATATCATCAAATGGTAATCTGTTTAAGTTTTGCATGAAGTATTAGATTGCTGGAATTGTAATAAAGTGTACTAATGTTTAAGTATTTATTGGGGGGAAATCCCAGTTCTCTCCTCAGTGAATTGTTTGCTTAGATTATTGAAGTAGTTGTTCTTCCATGTTCATATTTGAAGCATGAATTAATAAGTGTGAATAGCTAGAGTGATGTCAGATGTATAACTTAAAGGCATATGTCCTGTGTGCCATGTATGCTTCTTTATATCAGAGAAAAGGTGCATTTTAAAGACATTTTTTATTCTTTTAACAATAAAAAATTTCATTTGGGATTGTTAATTTGTATGTGTTAATGCTTCATTAGTTTGTTTTAACTCAAATAATGATGAATAGAGTAAGTACAAGTGGGGGCCCACAAGACTCACAGGGGATACAGTGTGCATGCGCTGGATCAATTGGCATTGTAGCAAGCTCTTAACGGATTTTCGCGCCCAGACCTCGAGCATGTGCAGGAACCCCACCACGCATGCCCAGAGGGGTGGGCGCGGACATCCCGCCAGTTCCTTCGAACCGCCGCAAATCAACCCCTATGGAAAGTGTAGAAGCTGACAGCAGCGGGGAAGGAGGGCGGGTGGTGTGAATGCACAGATGACCACTCGAAGATCACCAGTTACAGGTAAGCAACCTGTATCTTTGATGTGGTCTCTGACTGTGCTTCACACCCATGGGAGATTAGCGAGCAGTATTCTACCTAGAGGAGGGTGCTGGCAGGTCATTACTGCGAAGCCGAGGATAAGATGCGACGTCCCATGTTGGTACAAGTGTTCTTTCGGATGTCTAGGGCATAGTGCCTTATGAATGTATTAGGCGTAGCCCACGTAGCGGCTCTGCAAATGTCCATTAGGGGAACTCCCTGGAGGAAGGCAGTTGAGGCTGCAACAGCTCTGGTTGAATGAGCCCTGATAGGGCCAGGCAATTGCTGCTTAGTGATAAGGTAGCAGAGGCGGATGAGACCTGCAATCCACCTTGACAAATGCTGAGCTGTGATGCAAGTTCCCAGCCTTGCTGGCACATAGGAGATGAAAAGTTGAGAGTCACGTCTCGTTGGACGGGTTTTATTTAAGTAAAACAGGAGCGCACGCTTCGTATCCAAGGTGTGTAACAGCCCCTCCTTTGGGGATGTCGGAGCCAGGAAGAAATCCAGGAGGAAGACCTCTGCCTGTAGGTGAAATTCTGACACTACCTTTGGCAGGAACGAGATGTTAGGTACGAGGCGGACGCCGTCTGGCAAAAATGGCAAGTAAGGAGTGTCATGTCTAAAGGCCAGTATTTCTCCAACTCGTCTTCCTGAAGTGACAGCAACCAGAAAGGCCGTTTTCCACGACAGGAATTTTAGGTCGCAAGTTGCGAGTGGTTCAAAAGGTTTCCTGGTGAGTTGGCGAAGGTCCCAGGGGATGACAGGAGTTTTGATGGGAGGGTAGGGGTGTAACAGTCCAAAAAATGTTTGGAAAGTGGGTGCGAAAACAGTGTGCATCCCTCAACTTGAACATGGTAGGCCGAAAGTGCGGCCAAGTAAACCTTTAATGAGGAGTGAGAAAGTCCCGAGTCAGTGAGAGACAGAAGGAATTGAAAACCTTTCTCGAGACATGCGGAGGTAGCTCGAGGGGCATTGTCACCTAAAGTGGAACAGAATTTCTGCCACTTGTAGTGATATGATCTTTGCATAGTGGGCTTTCTGGAGTTTAGCAAAACGTTTGCTATGCGGGCAGAAAAGCCGTTGACGCTACTCTCCAGGCTGTCAACTTCATTCGTGGCACGTCGTGGTATAGGAGAGGGGACTCGGATAGGAAGAGGAGGTCCTGTGCCGGAGGAAACTAGTGGTAGACCCCCGCTGACAGGCCGTGGATGGTTGAGAACCATGGTTGCCGTGGCCACCACGGGGTTATGAGGACGCAGTCTGCTCTGTCGCTGATGATTTTGCGGACCACTCTCAGAAGCAGAGGCAGTGGAGGGAAGAGGTAGAGAAATCCTCTGGACCACGGATAGAGGAGACCATCCCCTAGAGACTGTGGGTCTCTGCCACCTTGGCTGCAGAACAGAGGGCACTTTTTGTTCGCCCTGGTGGCAAAAACATCTATTTGGGGAACCCCCCACCTGCGGCAGAGTGGGAGAAGGTAAGTTGGGTTCATTTCCCACTCGTGAAATGGCAAAAACACACTCCAAACTGTCAATCTCCTGACAGACAATGGAGGCCACGTACATCTTCCGGTGGTCAGAAGCCCACATTTCAAAAACCCTGATTTGGGTCGGGACAACAGTCTTAGCACACTAAGCAGCCAAAGTCCTCCAAGCAGGGTTTTTGACTTCCTTTCCTCCAAGTCAAATCCAACTCATCTAACCCCTTTTCTCCAAACCTGGCATCACATCACCACAGACGAATGGGTGCTGTCCATCCTAACCCAGGGCTACCGCATAGAATTTCTTCAGAACCCCGATGGCTGATGTCGGAGGAGGGTTTCGATGCCGGAGCCGTCAATGTCAGTGGTCTTTCTGAATCCATCGCTGAGGGAGGATGTAACGCTGACTCCAGTAGCGCTACTCTGAGGCGTGCCTCTCGGTTTTTCCTGGTTTGGTTAGAAAACCTAGAACAGTGCCGACAAGACTCTGGTCAGTGTGTCTCCCCCAAACAACAAATGCAAAGGGTGTGGTGATCAGGTGGAGTGAGCTTACTGCTGCAACTCTTGCAGCGGTTGAAAAAGCCCCACTTCTCCATAAAATAAGTAAAACGGAGAAGAAGAAAAGGGGGGGGGGAGCCAGAAGGCCAAAATGAGGTAAACAAAAAAAACTTCCCCCTCAACGAAAACAACTTCTTTTTTTCAAAGAACGAACGAACGAAGATTAGGAAAAATAAAACTGAGGAAAAATCCAAAGAGCCTGTGAGGAAAAAATAGTACCGATCAGACAGACGAAAGGAAGGTGCTTCGAGCATGGCGGAAAGAAAGGAACTGGCGGGATGTCCACGCCCACCCCTCTGGGCATGCGTGGTGGGGTTCCTGTGGATGCCCAAGGTCTGGCCGCAAAAATCCGTTAACAGCTTGCTACAATGCCGATCGATCCAGTGCATGCGCACTGTATCCCCATTGGTGTGAATGCACAGATGACCACTCGAAGATCACCAGTTATAGGTAATCAACCTGTTTTTCCCCCCATCGCTGAGCCTGGTGAGGTTCCAGCCTGTGCTACCTACTATGGGCTCACAGTGGCTGCCGGCTTTCACTGGTGCCACACTTTCAGTGGCAGCCATCAACCTCCACCTCCATTCCTGGAGCAGCGGCTGCCAGCCTCCTCTGTTGCGGCATCCTTGTCTACCACATGGAGGCCCATAGCAGCTGCCAGTGTAGGCCTGCAATACTTGCAAGGGGATTCCCCTCACTTTCTTGCTGCATGACTTCCGGGCCTGCACCTCTGCTGCTGGCTAGTCCGGTGTGCCCAGCAAAGCTCACAGGCCATACCACCAATAGTGGCATGCTCAGCTGGTCTCCCAGGCTGTGTGGCCACCACAGGGCCTAGCATGGAGTCCCAGACTGTGCTACCACTGGACCCAGCATGGCTCCCTGGTGCTGCCACCAACCACCAGAAGTGTGTTCTCTGCTTGCACAGAGAATGCTACTTTACTTTCAACCCACCTGGTGTATTTTTGTTAAGATTTTTCTGCGAACCCAGGAGGTCCCTCAAGTTTGTCTTTCGCCTCAGTGTGGTCCCAATCCATGGATTTAAGTATTTGCAGATGGAGGCCACGTGTGGCTAATAGTATATAGATAATTTTCAATGTAGATTGCTTCCTGCAATTTAAGAAAAAAATTAAATGTGAATCTGACTGTATCTCAGGACCAAATTCAGCCTGCAGTGCTAGTACGGTTATATCCCAAGTAGTCTATCTGTTCCCAAAAGAAGCTGCAATTTTGCCATTCTGATAATGTATGAGTGGCTTAGGCTCCACACCTTTCTATATTGCTTCAGGTTCCCTTAGTACATTCAGAATCCAAATCATTAGCAAGAATTATTTGTGTTTGACTCTGAAGCATAGGTTCTCTTTTGCTTTTACTGTGCCAGAGAACCCATAGCAAGCTGCTATTCATTGTAATAAGAGGGTTTTTCCATTTTAAAAAATTCTCCATATTTTGTTTTTCATTTGTTGTTGGAATGCACTAGGTATGATAATAGGGCCCTGAAACTATTAGCATAATCCATACATAGAAAGGCTTAATTAAATCCCAATGGTATTGATGGAAACTGTGTGTGTAATAAAACTGGGAGTTTTATTAGTGTATAGGTATTGGCTATTGGACAAGTTCTATCAGCGAGCACACAAAGAGAACTAAGGCAGCTGGAAGTTTCTTTGAAGTTTATATCACCATTGCCTATGCTGCCAAACAGATGAGCCATTTTTCAGTTTAATCAAGTAGTTACCTGTCTTTACAGAATCATTAGATTTGTTTGTACTTGGTCGCTGGCGTAAAATGTGCAAGATTTTAAACTATAAAATAATTGAAGGACCGTTGATCAATCACATTCTAGCTGGGATTGAGAAGAATGAAACTGCATCTGAGTTTAACAAAATGAGAAGAGAGACCCATTGTTTTTGTGTAAACTTTCTAAAACAGTTTGAATTACACAATGATCCATTATGTAAGAAAACATACGATCTGCATTTTGCTTTGTCATAGGTAAG